CAATTTACAACTTCTAAATCTTTGTATTTATTGTAATTTATTTTATTTTCTATGTTTAGTACCACCTTTTAAAGAAGTAAAGTTTTCCACTCGATGTTGGTTTTTAACATTATATTGTCATCATGTAGCTTTAATACCATCTTTCACTAAACACACTAGGAGGTATAGAACTGTAAGAGATCTTCAAAAATTGGTATGTGTGGTTAATTAAAATTTTTACTTTAAGTTTTAAAATAACTTAATGCTATGTCTTATTGAATGTTGTAGATAGATGAAATAGCAAATTCAGAATCAGAATGGAAGAGTAATCCCACATTAGCTTCAAGAAATAAAGAATTAATGAAAAAGTGGAGAATGCAGTTAAAGGTAACATGTCATTTTATAAACTTGTTATCAATGTAACATTCAACATTCATGGTTTGTAGAAACTATTGAAGAGCAAATCATGTGGAGAAATAGTCTTATACGATCCATCTCTTATAACTCGTTGTATCGTATTTTATTCAACGGTTGCTGAGTTTATGATGTCTCTTCTTCAAGGTTACCAATTTGTACCAAATACTGATATAAAGTTCCCTGCTGAAGTTCCAACTATTTTAGCTGCTACTCCAGAATGGTTTGTTGAAGATATTGCAGACTTCCTATTATTTATTCTGCAGTAAGTGATTCTATTCAATGTATTATATGGCTATTATATGATGAACGATATTGATATTTGATTTTAGATATGCACCTAAAGCAATTGAATTCAAGTTCTTTGATAAATTGTTGACATGGATTCTTGTTTGTATTTGTTCTCCGGCTGCTTTTAAAAATCCTTATCTCATAGCAAAGCTCATTGAAGTTTTATTTGTATTAAATCCAAGTATTCAGCCAAAGACTGAAGTTTTAAATAATATGATGATGAGCCATCCACTTTCAATCTCTCACCTTCCTTCTGCTTTAATGAAATTTTATACAGGTTTGTTAGAAGTTTATATCAATATACATACAAAAATGTAATTTATAATGGTTAATGTTTATTGATTGTAGTAATTGAATCTACTGGAGCCAGTTCCGAATTTTATGATAAATTTACTATACGCTACCATATAAGTTTAATCCTCAAAAGTATGTGGGAAAGCCCTATGCACAGAAGTTCAGTCATTGCAGAATCCAAGTATAACACAATAAAAATAAAGCAGCTAAGTTTATGCTTATTAATATGTTTATACTGTTTTTTAATTTTCCATGATAGAACCGGAATACAATTTGTGAAATTTGTAAATATGTTGATAAATGACACAACATTCTTGTTGGATGAGAGTTTGGAGTCTTTAAAGCGTATTCATGAAGTACAAGAACAAATGGCAGATACGACTACTTGGAATAATCTGCCTGAAGATGTTCAACAATCTCGAAATAGACAGCTTTCTGCTGATGAAAGACAATGCCGGTTTGTGAAAAATTTTTCAATTTTAATATATTCCACTGATGCCAATATTATGATTTTTTAGTTCCTATTTAACTTTGGCACAAGAGACTGTTGATATGTTCCATTATCTTACAAAGGATATCAAAGAACCATTTATGCGACCCGAATTAGTTAATCGGCTTACAGCAATGTTGAATTTCAATTTACAGCAATTATGTGGTCCTAAATGTAAAAATTTAAAAGTCAAAACACCAGAAAACTATGGATGGGAGCCTAGGCGGTTGCTTAAGCAATTAATTGACATTTATTTACATTTGGACTGTGAAGAGTTTGCTGCAGCTATTGCGGCTGATGAAGTAATTTTCTGATAAACCAAACTTTTTTTTTTAGTTCTGATTACTTAACTTATGATTCTTTTAAAAAATTTAGCGATCGTTTAGAATAGAATTATTTGAAGATGCAGCAAACCGAATGTTGAGAGTTTTAAATTCATCAAAAATAGAAGCCATGCAATTTCAAAGTTTGGCTATTAAGGCAAATGAAGTATCTATTCAAAATATTAAAAAAGAAGTTGATTTTAATGATGCTCCTGATGAATTTAGAGGTTTTATAGAAAGTATTTATCAAGTTTCAAAGTACTCATAAGTGTTCTTAAATTTCAGATCCATTGATGGATACTTTAATGGATGATCCAGTAACGTTACCGAGTAGTGGAAAAGTTATGGATCGGCCAGTTATAATTCGTCATTTGTTAAATTCACAAACAGATCCATTTAATCGACAACCATTAAGTGAAGATGATTTAACTCCTGGTAATGTTACTGAATTAACTAAACAATTATTAACTATCTTTTTCAGTATTCCTTCACTTTTTGAAAATATTAAAGTTGTATAAAATTATTCATTCAGTATTTTTACTTCAATACTGCAATCAATCTTGCTAATTTTATACTACAACATCTGTGCCCTATTTACTATGTAATCATGATATATAAAAGTATACATTTTGATTATAATAAGTATTGATGTAACCAAAATGTTAGTTTAGCTAATGTTTTCAAAACTAAGTTACTTTGAGTATGTCTTACTGCCTATAACGATAAATTATTGTGGTCCTCTAAAAGTCGTTATAATTGATTTTCATAGGCCTGAGTCGACCTTGCAGCCAGGGGGGGCAGACATTTTTCCATTATTGTATTGGCAGCTGCCCTCCCTGCCCCTTCCATGCGCTTACCTATGTTTATTTCCACTGTTCACTACTCTGTTCTAAATAAGTTGGGCAAAAAATCACGACAAACACGTGGTTTGCGCATCTGCAGCATCTTGTCGGCTGCTGTTGGTGCACTGTTGACTACTGTCCAATCACAGCGGTTCTAATTTTTCGAGGCTACACAGTTTTTCCAAATTTTAATTGGAATAAAGTGTAGAAAGGACTTTATGTTGTCCACAGTGATATAGTTACACAGGAGATATTGATTAGCATTAAAGATTTTGTTTTCCACTACTGATGTAGAATATATGTATTTTTTCATTGTGCATTCAGACTGCCTTCTATCACACATATTAGTAATATCCCATGGATTTATCCGGGCATAGCACACAAACACATCTATTTTTATAGATACTATTACCGTGCTTATAAAACATTTGATTTTCAGTAAACAAAAAAAGTCTATTAAAAAAGATTATTATTTTTTCTTCAACTATTATTTTATTTTATCAATGTAGTCTTAATATTATAAAAATCATCATGTACAGCAAAATCCTGTACATTCTGAGCACTTTACTCACAAGTATATAATTTTTGAGTTTATTGAATAAAAACTAATTAAGATCTGCCCTTATATTATGTTAGTATAAAAATATAGATTAATAATGTTTTTGATAGTTTATTATAATTTCATAGATAATTCACTTTTCAGTAGGCTTTGAGCCAACTTCATTTATATTTAAGTATCCAACGATTCACTATTAGCAATATATTAAGTTGGCATTAGTACAATAGAGGTACTTAAAAATTAATTGGTAATGTTAAATACAGAATTATTATAATCAGTGTCAGGGTTGTAGTGGAATCAATGCATAAATATGCTCAACATTAAAAGAACAAGATACTATAATTTAAGTTTTTAAAAAGCCTATAATAATATAGGGTACAGCATTGTAAATTTAAAAATGCTCATAATATGCTTAAAAATTAAATTTTGAAAACCGATTCTCTAAAGCAGATCATATTTTAATACTTTTAAGTTTGATTATGTGTTAACTTACTTAAATATCAAAGCCAAAAGCCAAAAATACTAAATTGATTCTACTGAACACAAATTTGCTATATTAATGTTTATAAGATGAAGAAAAAATATGAAGGTGCTACATAGTATTTGACTATTCCAACACTTTCCTCAGCAAATGCTAAATTTTGTTATATTTACCCTTAAAAAAAAAATGATATACTAAGTTATATTGAAGTCTATATAAGAAATAAGCATGTTGGAATTTGTCTTAAGTCTATCCATGTAATTTTTTAGAGTTTTAAAATTAAAATTATTTGTATTTACAGCTACGGATCTGAAAGAAAAAATTCAAAAATGGAAAATTGAAAAACTAAAAGCATTGTCTCAAAAGTCTCAACAATAAGGAAAGAAATATTTTGTAAAATATATATAATATTATAATAATACTTAAAAACAATAATAATGTTAAATTTAATATAATATAACGTATCCAAGTAAAATCACTTTTTAATATTTACTTCTAATTTTAATTATACTATTTACTTTTGTGATAAAAGAATGTGTTCTTAACACTAATAAAAGACTAAGAAAATACATATAAAATCCATATATAATATGTATATATAAAATCATACGTATCATTGTATATGTATTTATTGATTAATTTAATGGTAGTTTGGTGGTTCCAAGATTTGTATTTATGAAGATAATTGTTGATAAATATTACACGCACAAATTTAAATAAAGTTATCTATAAGTTTATTATGATTTGTAAAAAAATGTATTGACAATTTTTTTCTTTTTGTATGATTATTTGATTTAAAAAAAATTGTACAAAATTTTCAAACGTACTTATACTTATATTGTAAATAATTTAAGAATAAAAAGTATGATAAAATGTTTTTTTATTATTATTAGTTACATATTTATACATATACATTATACTTATACAGTATACACTAAGGAAAATATTCCACTACAAAATTTAAATTGACTATAGATGACTAGTTCTTAGTAGACTAAACCGTTATTGTAATAAATATATAATATTTCATTTCATAAATGTGAATATATAAATATTATTTTTTTTGTATGTATAGTACATATTTTTAAGTTGGCAGTCTTAAATTCAACACTTAAAAATTACATCATTATTATGTATGTATATTATTACAGTAATATTTTATACATGTTGTGATATGTTATTTTCAATAAATTTTTAATGTACAGTTTAATTCAATCTTCGTATTTCCGTCTTTGTCTTTTCTGTGATAATAAGTCAAATGCTTATATTGGTTGCGGAAAAATAATCGTTTGACATATTTCTCGGATGCAATACTTCTTCTAGTGCATCAGACGACGTTGCTTTCTTGGGCTGCAGCATACCTGGGAGAAGGGGTTTCCGTCTTTTCAGGGACTGGCGGTATGTCGGATTTAACCTGGACGACATGAAATTTGATTAACATGATTCGTTAAAAACTATATTTAGTTATGTAGTATTGTAAAATTATTCACCTTCAGGTCACCGTCCAGAAAAAATCCGATCTGATGGTATTCCTTGCCGGACCGCGGTTTCAATGTGGTTTTCGCTGTTCTACCGCACCTGCACCAATAATGCATAAAACATCGTGTTAAATAATTATTACAACATTAACTATAAATCGTAAATGTAACAGAGCTTAGCAACAAGTGCGTGTAAAAAATATTAAAATATTAATATAGTATTATTTTATTGTACTAAAATGTTTTTAATGCATTTTTAGTAAAAATAATTATTATTCTTCCTACTAACTTAATCATAAGATACTTTACTAGATACTATACCTACAAGATAATAGTATATAAATACCGCCTCCGGGGCTTAAGAAGCAACATTTTTTTTCGTGATAATTTATTCTCATGGACATACTTTTTTTTTCGGAAAACCTGGCGCGTATAATATGTTTATAATTTTAAATTTATAACAAATTGTGGTACTTAGTCCTATTTCTATATTAAAATATTATGACAACAACTTGATTTTGTGTTAATTGCAGCCAGTACACGAAATAGGACATAGGTACCTACATACCTATTGTACCTACTTAGTACATTAGTGCATTACAAACTTCTTTAAACAACGAGTTATTGAAGCATATCTAATATATATTGATACTGTTGTAATGTTTGTAAATTGTTATGTGTCTATATAATAGAGCTTGAAAACCCATGTTGGTCCATATACATGTTTCTATCACACTATATTTGGTCCGTAAAAAATGCATCATATGCTTACATTCAAAAATATTCCGCAACGAACTGGGTATAAATATTCTTTTTTTCTAGAAATATGCATTTTTATGTATCAACAATTTTTACTCTTCTATTCCGTGCAAATATGCGATAAGAATCGTAGAGATCTTATTACCCTCTTTCACTAGGTATATAGACTATACACGCATATTACATAGACTTCTATGACAAATACTGAAGTATCCATGTGCAATCCTAAAGTGTCCTATCTCTAGTCGTAAAGATAATTACGAGACCACCGAGTCGAGGGTCTCGAAAATCGGAGTCAAAATATTGGGGTAATGACCCACCTCGGGTTTTCGTTGTTGGTGGTGTCCGACGAACTGTGCGAGGACAACGACAGCGTCTCTATGTAGTCACTCATGTCCGACGTGTAGCTGCTTGTGCTCTGCGAGTCCAAAAACGGTACACCCGCGTTTCCTTCCACGTGCACGTTAAACCCTGAAACCGACGATAGTTATTATTAGACATGGGTAATAAATAGTGTTCTCTCTCTGGCAGTGTATTATTCCTACTTATTGTAATATTATCGTGTCTTCGTACCTAATTACGACTACTTATGCGTCAAATAACTTAGTTGCTGTATAAAATAAGTTTCCTGGAATTTCTTTCAGTCGATTTATAATACAGACGATGTACAATGACATTATATTGTTGACCGTTGTGAAGGAAATAAAAGATTCCGAGCAATCGGAATTCGGAAATTAAAGGATTATTATTACCTAACAACTGTATGGCTAAATAGCCTATCCATGACGCCGCGTGATTTATAATTAAATCGTAGGCATTGAAAAATAGATGCCGGGACAAAAAAAGGGGAAATGACTATGAGTCTCCACGCTACGTCTGTTAAAAGTAAATTTAATAAGCGATTTAAAACAATACAAAAATACATGTTATATTGTAAATATATCGTTTTAAATCATAATTGAATCGCTTAGTCAAATAATTTATTTTTATATTTCGTTATCTTTCAATTATAATAATATAAATGATGTATTATACCTATGTGTGCGGTAAAATGCATATGATATAGGTACTCTCTACACAGAGTACCACAGGGTACACATAATGGCTAGTAAAGTTATACGTATAAAAGAAAGGTAGGTATATAAAAACGAACTATTTCTAAGCCAAACGAAACGCAATATTTCTAACTCTATTCGGAGTTAACTTTAAAATAAATAATGCGAAAAGCACTTTTTCGAAACAGTTTTGCATCAAATTATCAGAACGTAATTATTCCAAATTGAAGCAAAATGTTTTATTTCTCGTGGAGTATTAAAATTGACCCACATGTACATTTTTTTTTTAAATTGTTGAGTACCTACTATTGCTTTTTTCATCATGTACAAACCCTGAACTGATTATTTTTAATTGTTTGTTATTTAATTAGGTGTTTCACCCAAGTATAAAAAGCGGGTTTCGTTTTTGTATTTACTAGTTTGCCAAACCGATAAAACTATACTTCTGTTGCCAAAAATAATCTACAATTTTATAAGTTTTTTCTGGAATTAAATTATTTCTACAAAAAGCAAAAATGCGGGGTTGTGAGAATGATTATAACGGGTGATTCATAATTCAAGGAATTCATTATTTCAAAAACTATTAATGTTTTTTAAAATATTTTTCTTACTATTTTTATGAATATAATTTTTAACTTTTTTTTTGATGACATTATACATTTTTTATGTCTTATTAAGAAGCAGAAAATTATTTGGAGTATTTTTTATACATAAATCAAAGTTCGAGTGAATAGTTAATTAGTTGTAAGACGTATTTAAGTTTGGATGAGTGAAGAAGTGGACCAAAATTTTAAAGTGGTACATTTGTCCCACTCCAATCCACTCATCTATAAACTCGAAATATTATTATAACTCTAAACTCATGAACTACTCGTTAAAAATTCGATATTTGTACTTCGAAGTAGGTACTCTGAGAAATATTTTGCTTCGGAATAAAATATAAATGTCGTGATTGAAAAAAGTAAAAACTTAAAAAAAATACGATAAAAATCGCATACTATACAAAATGAACACAACAACTGACCTTTATCTTTTTTCAAGCACACGGGCACTTCGGCACCGGCCGATGAAGATTTCATGGTGCCTGCGAACTTTTGAAACCTGAAACTGAGCTCCTTGAGCCGGTCTGTGGACTTGGAACGCCTGGGAAGCGAACCGTGAACGCAACCGGTTACCGTCACGCGGCCGCCGCAGTCGATAGAACCGGTCGCGGAACCGGTGCCCGCGGCAGCAGTGGCCGCGGCCACGGTGCGCCTGTGTCGCATCGTCGACATGGCCGTGGTCAGCGGCAACTCGAACTCGGCAAAGTCGGCTCCCCGGTAACGTAGCGAACCGGTGGACACGCCCGAGTCGTTGGAGCTGGACGAGTCGCGGTTGTTCTTACACGGCACGCTCGACGACCGTCGGATGTGTACCAGGGCGGTCTGTTGGTCGTCCGCGGCCACGCTACCGTCAGACACCGTTGAGGCAGTGGACGTGGCGCCCGCCGAGGTGGCGTCCGTGGGACGTTTGGCGATCTGGCTGGTCATGCTCTCGGCCGACGAAGTGTGATCCGAACAACCAGCGCCCCTGCTCGACCGGTCGGCGCCCATGCCCGACGTCAATCCGTCGTCGTCGCACCTCGACGAGTCAGCCGAACTGGACCGCCTTCGATGAGGATCGTCCGCCGCCCCGCCAACGTTTTTCCAGTCGTTGCCGTTCGCCGTGGCCGCTGTCGACTTGTACTCGTTCAGGCTGGGTATGCTTGCCGACTTTTCGGCCAAGCCCCTGTTCATTATGTTCTTCAACATGTCCTGCTGCTTGTTGTTTCCACTGCTACTGCTACTGTTGTTGTTGTTGTTGTTGTTGTTGTTGTTGCTGTTGTTATTATTGTTACCAGTCGCCGTCGGACACATGGGCAGGTAACCGGGGAACTGGTTTCTCTTCGGTTCCACCATTCGACCGTTGACCGGTTCCATTGTCATGTAGTCACCCTTTTCGTCGGCGCCGCCGCCCGAACAACGCTTCTGATGACCGCACTTGTCGCAGGCGTTTGACAGTCCCGCCTTCGTCAACACGTTTTTGGCGTTCTCGTAGTGGCAAAGCGATTCACTAAACTCCAAGTTCATGTAATTTTCGGTCGGTTTCCGGCCGTTTCGGGCTGTTGTCGGTTGCTGCTGTTGACTACCACCACCGGCAGGAGGTTCCAAGTTCATGTAGTTGCTCGACGACGGGGGTGGAAGTGGTTCTGCGTGCTTCTTTTTCTTCGAAACGTCCACGGTCGCATAAATTGCCCCGTTGTGTTGGCAGTTGTTCTGCAAAAGTCGCATCGTTGTTAAATCGACGAAAATATAATTTCATAATATATATATATATATATATAATGATATATTATATTTATATAGATACATAAAATGTAGCTTAAAAACTAGTAATAATATAAATTTTCACGGTGGAGAAAGGTCCAAGAGGGTTGGATTATCAAAATCGAGGAGAAAATGTTATCGTATTCTTTGTGAAGGATATTGGTAGGGAAATATGTTATGTAATAATTTTATAATTTTCTATATTCGAGGAAAGTTTTCAAATCGTGATGCGCAAACTGTACGTAGTATGTGAAGCATAGATTAAAAAATATTTCGTGGACCTATAGCAGAGAGTTTTTTTTAGGTAGTTCTTCTTGAAATCGGTGCCATTCACAACGAAAGTTCTAAAAGTTGGATTTAAATTAATTTACATTTATCATTTCTAAATAAATAAATTGATTATTAACACGCCTATGAACTCGATTTTTTATCGTCATTGCAGAATGTAATACATCCAAACATCTTTTAATAATAATAATTTGTATTCAACTCAAAAATGTTATACATATACAATATGTACATGTTTTAATACAACTTAAAAATAATTACAGTTGAGCGTAGATACCCCTCTCTTTAGCCAAGCTTCTGGTGAGTGGAGGGGGCTCTTTAAACGTAATATACACTGACTTTTCGGTCAATCGTTTTAAAAATATTGTTTTGTTTGTAAAGGCGTTACCAAAATTAAATTAAATGTTCGAAAAAAAATACAGATAAATTAAAGGTCGGACGTTTAAAATTATTTCTTATACCTACTTACAAATATATTATTTATTATTTTAAAATGTTAATGTTACCCGTACCTAATGTATAGCTTACATTGCATTTTTTTAAAGTTCAAATACAAACTGAGTGTTGTAGTTTTATGTTTCTATTGATTTAGTCTGTTTTGTACATATCGATTACTTTGTTTTTATTTTTTACGTTTACTCTTGTAGTCTTTTGTTCATACTTATAAATAATTTATTCTAATTGTATAAATTAAACGTTCCGTAATTTTTTTTTTAAGTAGCAGTTTCAGTGCGTAGTTAATAATTATGCAGTTGCTATATTACAATATTACATTCGTAATGTGGTTATGTTTATTTACCATCAGTCGTCAGCAAAATGTTTGTCTAATGATAAAAAATGAAAAAGTCAATTAATTTGTAGTGCCAAATATATTAGTCAGTGGAATTACCTTTTTCAAGACGATGGTAAATAAAGATATAAGATCATAATTTATTGTTAACTAAAATAAGTAAAAACACTACCACCGTAATTCAAAAGTAAACATCTAAAAACCGGTGTATCGATTTGTGTACACTTCTTCATGCGTTTGGATTTGGTGGTTTCGTGTAGCGTAGGTTTTACTAAATGAGCCGCACAGCTGTAGTTTCATCAAATTTATTTGGTAGGTGTATAAAATAAACTATCAATCAGATACGTTAAATTGTCGATCACGATTTTTTTTCATCCCAGCTTATCGATGATCTTATCACAGGATTTTTATTTAATTTAAATTCGATATAAGACACGGGATCGGCGTTTTCGTAAAAAAAAAATGTCTGCGCATCTCGCACGGATAGTTATAACACTTATAATTGTTATAAGTCTCGGAAACCATAAATATAACGATACAATACATTTATAACACAGCACTTGGACTTACGGTACAATTTGATGTCTGATTGTCGGTTTGAAGATTACTTCGTCTGCAGCGAGGAGGCATCGTCATCCAGTTATTATGAGACCAACATGTCATGGCTCGCTGGCAAGGACACATTCCGGTGCACTGAGGGCTGTCTGCTTGTTTCGGCGTCCCGGCACTAAAAATGGCGAAACGGCGAAAAATTATTCAAATTGCCACTCGTAGACGATTCGGAACTCAAGGGTACTATAACATTGTAGACTGTTATCTCGAAAGTGGTTTATAACTCTCGATTACCCCGTACCAATAACAGCATTTATATTTGTTTATCAAAATCTAATACTATAATATGGTAAATATCGATTTGTTATGGCATTATTTAATATAGGCCAATATTATAAGTAATATACTTTACAACCCCTTTACGAATATTTATATGATGTTTATATTTCATATTATATAGTCAAAATGGCGATGCGTGTATGCAAAATTAATATAAATTACTTGGATTTTTTATGAACGGCCACGGGCGACGGAGGCGTATCGTAATTGCCGTAGGGGTTGACTTCCAACGAGGACTTGATGTTCCTCGGCGTGTCGTAGTATTCATCTTGTATGGACGAGTATGGTTTATTCTGCTGTAAAAATAAATGCATTACGATTAAAACTTGACAGAAATAAAAAACTAATACAGATAGATATTGTTATGTTTTGTTCGACAGCGAATTTAAAACAAAAATGAAGAAGAGTCGAAGAGAAAATGTCAAAAGCAGACTGTTAACCTCTAACAGTAACTTGTTCGTACAAGTTGTTTGTACTGTTTGAGATGTTTTTTTAAAAACTATATTGTTTGACAAAGTTATCGTTCATTGAATAACTTAAAAAAAAAATAAACATATAAATACGTTTTATGTCATTTATATTTTATCGACAACGTACTTTCGTGTTTGTGCATACAATCTTTGGAGTGTCGTAGTTATTGAGGTAGGATTGTCGAGATTTTTCTGAAGTAGTGCACCGGCATACGCACATGGTATCTTGCTGAGGTAAAGGCATCGGAGCCTTTTTAACAGGAGTACTAGTTTCCGGCTTCAGGTGTACTGGTTTCGGTGGTCTGTTCGGCGCACACGTATCAGATTGACTGGAATTTGATAATAAATTATTATTCATTTTTAATGGTAATCGATTTAAATTGACAGTTAACCTATTCAGATTCATTGATTGGTAAGATTAAGTATCTAGTAATATTATAGTATTGTAGTTATAAGTGTGTAACTAGGTACATATAATACAACTACATATTATATACATAATACCAACAATTAGTTACATGCTTTTGATTATTATTTATTAAGCCCGTAAATTCACACACTCACACGCAATATATTGGTATAATGATATCTATTTTATTGCCATTAGAAATCGATAAATGTGTAAACTATTTAAAATAAGTGTGGCTATAAGTAGGTACCTAATTAGTTTGAGTTATATGAGTATGGACGAATGTAATATAACGATATCTTAAACAAAATAAATTGCTTGAATTTCAAACAGCGTGTCACTATATAGTTTAAACAATAAAAAATAAAATAAATTAAATTAAATTAGTATTAATTTATTATATTTAATTTTTGATATTAATAATTAATTAGTTTTTGTTTTTGGTTATAGGTAAGTCTTTTACCACTAGTTAAAAAAAAAATTGCTAGCCACGATAAGCCCAGCTTAAATCTGAGAACCAAAAAAAGGGTTTTAAACATACATTTCAATAATCTCAAACAATTTACAAAATGTTGAAAATAAAAATTTGAAATAAAATATGACATACCTATAATACGGTACCTAATACAAGTTGCTTATAACTTAACGATCCTGGACTTACCGGTTACCGTACGAATTGTAGGTATATGGTACATTATGTAGAAAACACAAAAGTTATTAATGTTCTATAGGTATAGTACTTATAAAATATATATCTGCACTACATCGTGTTATTTTGTACCGATTTAAACGATGATGCTTATGATTTAAACGTGTGTGTACTTACATTTTGTTCATTTTGTCAGTCACGGAGCCGCATACTTTTCTAGGTACAGAGTACTCTGTACCACACACAGAGCTGCATCCGGCGCTTCCGCCACTGCTGCTACTCTGAGATGACATATATCCGCAACACTGATGTCCGTTATTCATTTCTGGTATGTAATTCACTGAACAAAACAAATACAAATATCATAGTAAATAATTTTATATTAGGAGTTTAAAAACTGCATTTAGTCGCAATACATATATATGGTCTTGCATTGGTATGATGCAATAGAATACATATAAGTAAGTAGGTATATCTTCAATGTTTTTAAAATCTATTAAAGTATGGAAACGTCTTACTTTTACCATTTATTGTCAGGTAACAAAAAGATACGATTGTATTGTTTCTAACCACGAAGTATTTAGGTCAACTGGATAATCGGAATGAATATTGTTTTCCCTATCCATTAAATTTACAATTCAATCATTTTGTTCATCAATCAATACCTACATAATGCATTATAAATTACGTCTTCATCTTGGACGATTACGCGTACCTACGTGTATTACGTTTGGTAAATTCAAATCTTGAAGCGGCATCTCTGATTATTCCTTTGCTCGGTAAAATATTTAAATGGACAATAATGAAGTCCAAGGCGAATGGTTTCATTGTTATCAATGGACCGTATCATGAATATAATTATATTATGTTCATTACAAATTTAATTGGAAACCATCAAACATCGATACAATAATACGTTTAGTATTTCATAAAGTTAAATTGTATGAATTAGATTGTTCTTCTGCAATTAATTATTTTTGTAATTCAGTATTTATTTTTGTGTCAAACGAACACATGTAAGTAATAACACTGGTTGTTCAATATTTTAAGTAAAAAGCACATAGGTACAAGGTACATATATATACCTACCTATACTAGAGCATGGACTGTAGATTATGAGAACAGAATCGCGTGTTGGACTCTATATACGCCGCTGTTTCAAAATATATAAGATGGGGAACGTTTTAAATTGTCGGGAAGAACGTAGCTAATGTGTTGAGACATTGCCAAAAAGGTTACAAATGCAGAAAAGCTCAACGGTACACTTAGGTAACACGCGGATGCGTACTTGGCCTTGCAATACCATTTACATGTCGTAAATCGTAATATATTAATTGATACCTTCATTCGAATATTACAATTTCTTCTATTCCATGCATAATATGTGGGATACGTTTTATTATCTTGTAATCTCAACTCATGTGTTGAATAATTAAAAGTTATGGTTACGTTTAATACAATATCAATGGATTAGGTATCGAGACATCGAGTAGTAAGGGATGTACTTGGTATTAAAGCGAGCTCGAGTTGCTACTCGATTATTAATAATTAATAATAACATTTAACGCTTGGTAATTTTCTTTTTCGTTCTTAAAATATCCAATCATTATTGTTTTTAATTATTTTTTCCATCAGTCGTTTATAATATATAAACAATGTTGATGTAAATATGTCTATGGGGAATAGCTATAGGTTATACAACCAACTACAAAATGTATTAATCGCGTATTCGCAGAATTTACAAAATATTATTATATGTTAATATGTGTAGTGTCTTTCAATGAGCTGTATAACATAGTTTATAGTTAATTTGTATTTTAACATAGGTATTTAAAGTTTTTTTTTGCTTAAAAGAATATTGCGTAAGACCTGAGAATAGGAATGCGATGCGGTTCTCTTGGACTCTAAATGTAATACCTATGTAATATTTACACCAAATGTTTTGTTTATAAAGTATTGATTTAGTATACCTAGGTATGTGTTGTGAATAATTTTGTATGAATAAACTTACGCGACGATACATTGTTGTCCATAGTCCACGCAGGATTAAAGCCCATGCTTCCAGGGGTATTAGCCATGGTCGAAGAACGAGACAAAGCTCCAAGTTTACTTATACAGCTGGCACATCGTTCCAAAGCTGTTTCTGGGGTCCATGTGCACTCCTATTGTTTTAAATCAAACACAATCTATATTATAATATTTGTGTTATACTATTATGTACACAAAAATAAAATGTTTGCTTCAGCATTTGTAACTCATTGACCATATACGTAATGGATTGGTTGTAGAATTATTTTCAAGATAAATTGAAATAAAATTAAAATTTTGATTTTATGTAGGTACGTTTGTTAGGTAAGTGATGAGAGATGTTTTAAAAAAATATGTGTGAACACTAAGTTCATCTATGAAAATATATTGTTCACCGATCAATATTGTATCTATAATCTAAATACTGTATATGAAATATATGTGAACTACACTATAGTTAAAAAGTAAAAACACGTAGTAAGTACTACTATATGATGTTATAAGCTATAGTTTAGGTACCTATAAACAATATTTTTTTGTTAATTTTTTTATTGAAAAATAATATGTACTGATATCAAAAATGAAGAACAGTAAGTGTCTTTCCAAAATTAAAATGCTCAACTTATTATACCTGCACCATAAGATGGTTTAATACAAATCATGTAAGTTGATGATGGTTATTATTATTTTGTGTGCCACTTAATAATTCACCTGTAAGTTTTGATCTTGAAAATCTCCAACAGATGCCGTGTCTCCAAAGTCCGAATTATCTAGTCGACTTTCGTTAGATGGCCAACACATGTTGTCTTCACTACTTCTGTCGTGAGAATGTTGATTGAACGAACTTTGATCAGCACCGTACTCGGAAGCTCTAGAATCTAAGCGAGACAAGAGACCTCTTCTAGACGGACTTTCTAAAACTGTATTTAATAGCAGGTGTTATAGTGTGAAGTTAAGTAATATTAGTACTTTTATTCTTACCCGACATATTTCTAGAGAGCAACCTCTTTCTAGAAGCCAGCTTGCTTTCTGCCGCTAAGTTCATGCATCTAGTTATGTCGTCTCCCTGGTCGGTAAAACACACAAATAAGCCTTCACCTTTTCCACACCTCGAACCTCCCTCGTAGCAAAATCGGTTTTCAATAACTCCATATTTTCTGTGAGAACGTACGCGGTGCGTTATAAAAACTGAAATACGATGGATCACCGTACAGATTAACAAAAATTAAATATACCTCAAATGTCGAAGCTCCCAAACACCAGCTAATCTTGGGGGAACTCCAGTCGTCATAGAGAACCTCAAGTCTTGTATGTGTAATCTGGCAGGTCCTGCGGATATTTTAGACTTGGGAGGACAGGATGATATTTGAATCAAAAACTGTTGGTCTGCAAATGCCAATAATAAATGATTGTTATTCAAAATTCCATTTCACGTTCAATAAGCTAATAATCGTAAATGTATGGTATTTCATATTTCTTTATGAGGTGTATTTTTTTTACATACATATTACTAGGTGCATGGTAAACCATTTTTACATCCTCATACTTCTGTCTACTTTTCTTTTATTTTGGGTCATTTTCTTTATCCACGTCCCTTTTTCTTACTTGTTATCTTTACAGTGGATTGCACAATAAACCTCTTTAAATTCTCTATGCATTATTATTATTTGCAGACTGTGTTCAACCTTCGTTACTCAGAACATTTCCAACTCACGTAATCTCTACATTATGCACCCTTAAGGTGAAAAAAAACAATAAGAAAGAATGTCTTACCATTTAAGCATCCAACAATGGTTATAAACTTGTTTAAATGCATTTACGATAAACTTTTAGTTATAATTTATAAATTATAACATATCACAGCATAATTTGGGTGATTTTTGATTTTTGTATAGTATTTAACTAACAGGTTATAAGTGTCTCGGCGGAGAAAATTAAATTGTAGTCAGTTTAAATTTGAATACATATTGAATACATACAGGTTTTAATTACGTTAATTACGTTTTAAGGTAAGGTTTTAATATTCTATAACATTTTCTCACCATCTCCCAAGTTTGAAGATATCTTAACTTGCCACTGGATCAGTCTTTCTCGGGTATCGAACGCTAGTACAACAGTGACGTCTTGGCAAATAATAGCTATCGTGTTGGATTCTTTGTCCAGTGTAAATCCTGTGAATGACATTTCGATTATAATATATTTGTTCTTATTAAACTGTTCAACAAAATATCTCACCAGACTCTACTCCTAAGAAGTGTTGTAAAGATAACGAAGCCTTCGTCTGGCCATGCTTGTATCGGTCTTTACTGTCCCTGTATAGTTGCAAATGTAGACAATCTGAAAGTATACAAATTAAAGTTTTTAAACTCAATCATGTAAGACATTTGTATATAAATATATTATACATGTGTAATGTGTGTATTTTTTTTGTTTTAAACATGATGTAAACTCTTTTTTACATGCTTTTGTTGGTAAAATTCAGCGCACCGAGCTCTCTATCTATTATAGATTACATTTTATCGACTGCAAGTGTAATTGTTTCAAAAAAAAAAAGTCTGTGTGAACTGTTCACAAAACATAACCACAACCGTAATAACTCCGCAACAACAGCAGCAATATAACAACAACAAGAACAACAAGAACAGTTAAACTTCTACGCCAAAACAATTATTAAATATTCGGAGAGAAAAAGTCACGAATTCAGAATATATATATATTTGTATTTTGTATGTATAGATGGAAAGTGATTTTATATGTAGAGACCGAGGATCAAGGGGCGTAATCGTCGACGGTGACAAAATTCCCGTCTGTATGTGCAACTCGTCCCCAGCGAAATTAAAAGTTAAATGTTTCCGGGGACACGAGCTGCAGAGATTGCCTTCTGCTGTGCCGAGTTTTCGTGTCACACCCCCTAACACATATACGCGCAGACGTTCGTCGAACTCCAATCGATGGATTATCAATCCGCGTAAAATGTTTTTTGCGTGCACCCCCGCAGATGGTGCATTTCGTTTCGGCGAAGTTTTTCTTCCTCCTGTCCACCATAACTCTCTATCGTCGAACACCGGGGAAAAGAAAAAAAAGTAGGGGAACCCAGGTGTTTTAAAGGAAATCACTTCCATTTACACCGAAAAATGTTTCAAAGGCACACCGCGGGAATGAATGGGGTTGGATCCGACGAGCGGTTTTTCCGAAAAGGCACAGTTTAACGCGGTGGGAGCTTGTATTTTAGTAGAGAGACGGAGTGGAGTGAGGAATAAGGAAGCGTGACAGATTTGTGGCCATGTTAAAATGCTTCCTTGTCGAGTATTTATCGGAAAAATGTTCTATTGGTATAGAGCCAAAACTGTCCGAGGACGCCACAGAAGTTTATCCTCGGAATCGTAAAATTATGTTCGGCAGCCGATGGAAGTGAAATATTTACTTTCACGTAGGCAAATAATTTATATAATATGTATATGTTTATAGTGAAAAAATCATGGCTTGTCAATTATTTCTATTTGCGAGGAATATCCACCTACATATATTATGTTTCAGTTTTAAAATATTAAAATAATATTTAAAAAGTTATTTTTTTACGGCAGTCCATTGACTTTTAAATTATTTTTTAAGGGTTTAAGGTATAAATTACACAATTTCAAAATATGAACTCAGCCATCTATTCAACGTTTTGATTTATTTCTTAAGCTACTATAATAATTCATCATTGCAAATATCAATTTATGAAGTTATTATTGCAAAAGTTGAATGTGTGTATATAAATTATACTATGTGTTATTTTATTAATTTTAGTAAATACGTATTAATATTAAATTCAATTTAGTTGCGGAATTTAATTCGAAACTTTGTCATTAGTTAAAGCGGATTGAAAACTGTTGCTTTGCCCAAACTATTATTCAAACATTGAAATTCTGTTCTAGGGATTTATAAAGCTTATTTGAGGATTATACATTTTTTTAATAACTATGTAATTGGTAAAATAAGAAAAAAACAATAGAAGATTTGATATTTATTGTGTTTAAGAATCAATTGTATAAAATCGAGAGTAGAAATATTGACTTGTGTATAAATAAAGTACTTATTGATAATTTTTAATTACATAATATTAATATTAAGTTAAGTGCGCCTGCCTAATATATTTTTAAGTAATTACGTAGGCACATATTATTATGCACACAATATCGTCAGTTTGAAAAATATTTGATTTGAATGCCAATAATCTATATGTATCTTTAGTTGTTTGAGTTCGACGAAATTAGGAAAAACAGCAGTTCGATGACAGAAAAAAAGTATGTATATCAAAGCCTTGTAACCGAAAAGTTTCCAATATTGGCGGTAAACATTGTAATCCCTTGCGTGTTGCATTTCCTTGCTTTTTGATGACATAAAATCGTGTTGAACAATCGTTAAAGAACAACCGAAACGATATTATAGTAATTACATTTACTGCGCGCATATATTATACTATACCTACGTATTATCCCAATGCGTGTACAAGTTTAATATGTCTGAAATAATATTTTGTTTAATTTTTAATTTCTAGTACGGCGTTTGAAATAACTAATAAGTAATAACTAATAATAATAATACAAAAAAAATAATGATATATAGTCTGATAATTATTACAATTCCACGATGAGACCGAGGTGCGTATTATTGTTCAAGTATAATAATATTCAAAAAACCGATAAGGTCACACGGCCCGCGTTTGTACCTACTACTAATACACTATTTACGCATAATATGGGTTTTGTTTTTATTTTCGTATACATAATTGAACAATGCTAATGCGCATTAGCTAAGCTAATACGGAATAAATAATGTACGGAAAGGACGACAGCCGTGCTCAAATATATTAATTTACGATTGAAATGTGCGAGGTCGGCTTTTTCAAGTTCCAGGTTAAAAGTAGGTTATAGTATGATATGTATTATGCACACATAAAACAATGTTTTACACGTTTCAGAAGTTAAAAAAAAAAAAAAAACTATCCGTCAGTAACAATATTTGGAATACGGCCTTTCAACAAGTATCCGAGGAATAGCTCGCAATTGACAAATTGATAAAAATGTGAACGAATTTAGAAAAATAAAGAAACCAAAATTTACCTCAAAGTTTCTAGTAATAATATTAATAACTGGTACTTTGCGTACCTACGTTATACACGACATTACACATAATCGCATGTACCTACCTAAAAATTATAATATTATATCGTATAATATATTATATTAACGACGGAGAGGCTGTTATTCTTAAATCGGATCGTCGTAGCTGCAGCGGTGTATAATACGAGGGCCATAACGTCCAGATATACCACAAAGTACCGCAATAAAGATTTTTCCCTTTTACCCGACGAACGCAAATTATTGTCCTGACGGTTCGCGTCATACACGACACGGTGTATGACACGCAATTTTTCGTCCGCCCGGAACCGACTATATTATGGGATATAATATTTCAGGCTTGCCGGCAGGGGAAAATCTTCCGTTACAATACACCCCGCCAATTTATACGATTTATTGGCCAATCATAATTTATAAGCAGTGACTAGATTGTATGTATAGGTAAAGGGACCACATCTCTGCACGTTCCCTCTACACACATTGCATCATTATTATAGTTTGTGGTTTGAATTTGAAATATTTAAAGAAATGAAAATTTCACGTTCCAGGAAATATTGCAATGGTTGATACTACGAACAATATATTTATTTTATCACACAGGTATACTATGTATCTTGAATAGATGCTCATTTAAGTATTTACCTATTAGTGATTAATCAATGCGCACATAGGGAGCAGTGATACCTAATGAATAGTTTACAACAAGGTGGATATAATATATTATATGGTATATTTATCACCATCGGCTTACAATAGACGATACTAGCCAGGGTTTAAGAATCACCTTGTTTATGATAATAAATTGAAAAGTCTCAATCAGTTAATCAGTTATCGCTTATCAATCGCATCTAAATGTTATGACGTTTTAAAATCCTAGTTAACAATTATCATATGTGCACAATGTGAGCTTCGTGCAGGACGTATCTTGAGGGTTTGGCGAATGGTGACGAACCCCGATAATAATACTATATTATTATTATTATCAAGTTCCTACGTATACTCATCATTGCAAATGGTAAGATATACAATTAATCGATCTAAACTCACGGATGGTTACAGCACACTGTACCAAAGATCTAGATTTTTCGTAAATTATTATTATAGACACAATCCGGACGGCCATACAGATTTGACTTTTTCGTCTTTTGCAGGTATTTACGATTAATAATTGTTAGAGAATGTTGTGGTATTAAATTATATACCTATAACGTGACGTATAGATTTAGATACAGGTGCATTGTAATACCTATTTCCTAATTATACATAAAAGTTGTACTGCCAATGAAGTATATATTTATAAAAGTTAAATGTACAGTATACTACAAACAAGTAACAATTGTACTTCATACCTTTAAACTTTAAATACCTAACATATTATAATTACGTATATTATGAAAGTATAATATTAAAGTCTCTAGTCTATATCCTTTTTAGTATTTTGTAAAAGCTATATTGTATTAGTAATAACTTTATAACCTTTAAGTACATACGATGAAAAACTTTTTTATTTTCTCGTTAGTATAGTACAACTACGAATCCCCATTATTTCGTATAATATTGTATCGATTAAATCATTTATTTTTCCTTGAAAACAATAAATTAAAATGAGTTGTTGTAAATTATGTTTTTTTTTTTTGCTGTTCATTTTCAATTCACAATGAGTTTAAATTTTCTTATACTATTGTACGTCAAGTTAATTGAAGTATATTTATGTTTTTTTTTTGTTGAATCGAGAACGATTTCATGCATAGTTAGATCGACGCACCGGGTTGTATTGTAATATGCGAATTCAATTTGCACGGGGAGGTAACGATGGTGCCTCCGAGGAATAAGAAATGGAATTGGTTTCGTGACGGGGAAAAAAACAATGCGATGAGTAACTCGCTGGGGTCGAATCGTCATCGTCGCAGGAATCATCGCCAAATTCCGACAAAAATGTCATGGGATCGCAAATCTTAATGACTTCAGCGTTCTTGACGTCTTTGGTTTTAGGACAAATTGAATTCTGTCATCATCATCATCATCCTTCTCCAAATTGCTTTACCGTTTATAATCGAGTATTTAAATTAGACGGTCGTCTGTTGTTTGCCTTTCTCTTTGTCTGACAGCGTTATCAATTATTATTACCATTATTATTATTGTTATTATAATCATCATTATCATGATATTGCGTTCACAATAATATTTGAGTGTATGCATGTTGTATATTAT